AATTAAAGATGCAATGGAACACTCTGATTGGGTTGTTGCAATGCAATCTGAATTGGCTGAGTTTGAACGAAATAAGGTTTGGAGATTAATTCCTAAACTTGAAAATATTTCGATTTTCAAGTTAAAATGGATTTTCAAAAATAAAACCGACAAAGATGGAAATATTATTCGAAACAAAGCCAGACTTGTTGTAAAAGGTTACTGACAAAAAGGGGGAACAAACTATGAAGAAACTTTCACCCTTGTCGCAAGACTCGAGGGTGTTCGTATATTTCTGGCTTATGCAACTCTCAAAGATTTCGATGTATATCAAATGGATGTGAAGTGTGAATTTTTGAATGGAGAGCTCGAAGAAACAGTATATGTGGAACAACCCCAAGTTTTGTCAATAAAGATCATCCTGATTATTGTTATATTTTAGATAAGGCAATTTATGGGTTAAAACAAGCACCAAGAGCCTGATATGCAACTCTTACCTCTTTCTTAAAACAATCGAAATTTAAACAAGGATCAGTTGACCCCACATTATTTCGAAAGAAAGTTGGGAATCATCTTATGCTTGTTCAAATTTATGTCGATGATATTATTTTTGGCTCAACTGACCCCGTTTTATCTAATCAATTTTAAAATATGATGAAAAAGCAAATTTGAAATGAGCATGATGGGAAAAATTAGTAATTTTCTTGGTCTAAATATTCATCAAAGCAGAGAAGAAATTTTTATCAACCAAGAAAGTATACGAAGAGTTTGCTTAAAAAGTTTGGATTGACGAATAACACAAAATTACGAGTACCGATGGCAACTAGAACAAGGCTGACACTTTCATTAGATAAACCAGCAGTTGACTTAACTCTTTATCGAATCATGATTGGTTGATTACTTTATCTCATAGCAAGTAGACCTTATATGATGTTTTCTGTGTGTAATTGTGCTTGGTACCAGTCAAATCTACGAGAACCACATCTTACTTCAGTCAAGAATATTTTTCGTTATCTCAAAGGCTCAATTTCGTTAGGATTGTAGTATCCTTTGAAAACTGGTTTCTTTATTCAAGCTTTCTTAGATGCTGACTTGGGAGGATGCAATATTGATCGAAAAAGCACGATTGGAGAATGTCAATTGCTTAATGGAAAGTTGGTGAGCTGGCAATCGAAGAAGCAACCATGTGTTTCAATTTCAACTGCTGAAGCAGGATATGTTGTTGCTGCTTGCACATCACAAATAATTTGGATTCATAGTCAATTGCATGATTATGCAATAAACATGAAGAGAATTCCATTATATTGTGATTCTCAAAGTACAATTCGTAATTATCATAATCCAGTGCAACATTCGAAGACTAAGCATATTGCTCTTCGTTACCATTTCATAAAAGATCATGTAGAGGATGGTAATATTGAAGTGAATTTCATGAAAACCACTGATCAATTGGCTAATATTTTAATGAAACCATTAGATAAAAAAACATTTGTGAGAATTTTAGGTGGACTTGGAATTGTCGAAGGGGGTTCTATTTCGAAAGAATAACAATAACTAGGCAACTTTCAGATTCAAAGGTTACCTTTCATAGTCAACGTTTCGTTACCCTTCGTCTTCGTAAGTTGGAACTGAAAAATTCGTGTGTCCGGTACATTTCAAATATTTTTTGTTAAGTAGTTTTTATTGTCTAAAAATTCAAAAAAAAAAAAAAACACCAAAAGATTTTCCTTTGTTTTGTCATTTCTTTTTGAAAAACACAAAAACAACAAAAAGATTTTTATTTGTTCTCTTTTATTTTCGAAAAATCAAAAATCACAAAAATATTTTGTTTTATATTTTTTTTTGTCTTCGTGTTTCGTTTTAGGTAACAAAGATGAATCTCAATGGTTAATGATTGTAATTCTAGGGTCAGGTAAATCTTTCGAAACTTTTGTACCAGTTAAGATGTCCCTAAAAGCATGTTGACCAAAGCCTCGAATGACTCTATGTGTGTTTACCGAAAGCCTTAATGAAATATTTCATACAAAAATTTCTTCCCAAGACAGGCTTATATTCACATTAGTCACATGAGCTACCTAGCTCTTCTCACATGAGTTAAGAGATTACTATTTTGTCCATAATAATAGAGGTACACATGAACTCTTAAGCCAATCTTTTTCATCTAAACATTCTTTCATGATCACACACAAAGACATATGTCCAAGAGGTCTTTGATCAAACCCATCGAGACTTAGACATATCATAATTATGTGTTTATGATCTGACATCATGAGACTATGATGAAAGTGAAACCCAATTCTCAAGATTTTAACGAATTGATGGGGAACTTTGTTCCAGTTTTTAATGAAACTTTTGTTTCTATACCTAGATTTGAAACTCCAAATCATATTCATTTCTTATGAGTGATCTTGATCAAACTATCGAAACCCACGATGCTTGTTACCCAACAGGATCCAACACAAATTCTTTCATAAATATGATTTCCCTGTGAGTTACATTTGATTTTTAAGTCACTTTCAAATTTAATTCAAAGCATACTTGTCACTGACTACACTGGTCAAACAAGTGATTTATATTACAATTTCTCACCTTATGTTTTGGATTATATGTAACGAAGTCGTGTATCCACCCATGAAGCCTTGAAAAAGAAGCCCTTCGAAACTTCTCAATAAGTTTTCGACTGTAATTCATGGGAAAACACACAAGCAGTTGATTATCTCTCTTGATAATTAACGAAGAAACTTTTGCCCGAAGTTTAACTGTTTTCGTGTGAAAATACTTTTGACATCACAAATCCAAGGTTTATTTTTATTTGATTCTTATCTTTTTCTTTGGCACACTGCACTCACGAAATCCTCGAGGTTCTGAGTAATATCAACTCAGGTTGATGATTTCGAAAGTGTGGCACATGACTTCACTTTAAATCTCAAAAGTGAAAGAGCCTAACCTGCATCTGAAGGTTGCTGACGGTTCATATTACATTGGGTGAAATAAACAGGCTGTGAGAAGTGATGTCTTGTATTCTATCCGGTTTTCAAGGAGAAGTGACAATTACTTTTTTCATGCATGGCTACTTTATCGGCATAGTGGTGTGAGTTTCAAGGTGCCATGTTGGATTTCATTAAATGCTATCCCGCTTCAAATTCAAATCTCAAGGTTACATATAAAAAGGAATTCAAGGTTTTGTTATTAGTTTACGCTTTCAGAGGAAAAATTCCCAAATTCTCTTTGAAAAATCCAATTGTTCCTCATACGAATTTACAACCCTAGTCATGGCTGATCAAACTAATGTTGATGCACCATCCCAAACCACAAAAGATGTTACATCTTTACCAATCATGAAGATTCAAGGAACAAACTATCAAGTAAAAACGGATGAATCTCTTTACCATGAAGGATTGAAGATGTTGGTGGTTGCCCTGAAGAGATATGTTCTTCCAACAACTATGTTTAATTCTTTTGCAGTACCTTTATCCTGGATTTCACAAGAAGGTTCTACTGCAACATACTCTAAAGGCCTAGATGTCATCACATTCAAATTGGTGAATGATAAGAAGGTACGATTGACAAAGAAGTTGTTTTGTCAAATTTTGGATATTCCAAACTGTCAACCATTCACTGCTCTTTCGACTATTCCAGTGAATCATATGTTCAATGAGATGGGTCGTCAACCCCTATACACCAAGATAAGCGATTTTAAGAAATCCGGTCTTCCGACAGTCTGGAACTTTCTCTTTGGAATCTTTTTACGCTGCTTGACCTGTCGCAGTGTGGGTCTTGACAAAGGAAGAATGAAGGTTTATGCCATGGTTGCAGGGGTTTATTATGATATTCTAGTTGACTACTCAACTCAATTATGGAACGAGTTTTAGAAGAGTGTCGAAAACACAAATGTTGTGCAAGGTATTTCATGTGCACGATATTGGAGTCTTATCCTCCGATATTTCTATGTTAAATAGGGAATTCAGGTGAATGCTGAGGAGGAAACTGCAGATTTCTTGAAGTATAATTTTCCTAAAGATGTGTATGATGATGAAGCAATATGTTCACATGTTGCACGCATTCCTGATGCAATGTTGAAAAGAGTTGATCCGTAGAATGCTGTACTTATCGAATATATGACCACAATTGATCCCAAAGTTGAAACTGGGAAGTTGTTAACGAAAGAAGATGTAGGTCCTTCGAAGAAATATAAAACAAAAAAGAAAGTTGTGATTGTCAATCCTAAACCAAATGTTCAAGAAACTAAGAAATCAAAGTCTCCCAATAAAACAACTAAGCCCGATGAGTTAGTTTCGAAAGCTGTGATAAAACCTGTTGAACCTGTTGTTTCAGAACCAACTTTAGTTACAATTCCTTCGAAGACTGGATTTTTTCATAGATTAAAGCTGAAGTATGGTGGTTCTCCCACTTCGAGTCTAGTTTGCAAACCTCATGTTACTCATCAAGGGGTATTTATGTGCGAAGTCCCAGCTCCAGTTTCTCCTCACTCAAAGAAACGAAGGGCTGAGGATATGGCTAAGAAAATTTCAAAGAAAAAGAAGAAGACAAAGAAAAGACAGTTAGTAATTGCAACACAATCATCCAAAGAAGAAGAAGAAGAAGTGCCTGAAACTCCCGAACCTATTATTGATCCTATATCTCCTGAGAAAATTGTTATCATAACAACCAAAGTTTCGTCTGCCAAATCATCTCATGAGGAGGTACAAACTTCAGACATCACTACAAACGTATCTGATATGGGTGTAAATGTCATCATGGGTGAAGGAGATCTATCAAAGGAAACTACTCAATCTCAATAAGGTACTCTAATTTCTATTTCTATCGAACCCATTACTAGTATCTTTGTTTCTTTACCTCCATTTATCATCCTTACTACTTCTGACACTAAATCACCAACCTTTCAAAACATTATCAACCAACCATTTACATCCATTTTTTCATCACAATCCACTGATCTACCCAAAACAAATGATGAATCTGATAACGAAGAAGGTGGCTTTAGAGGTACTTTTTAAGATATGGATTTTGATGAAGAAGAAGAGGATTTCCCTAACCATATGCTCATGTCCATGAAACAGATCAAAATTCTGAATAAAATGCTAAATTCTATTATTCAGTATCAAGAAGACATGTGGGAAGGAATTTCAGCTTCTAGTTTTGAAATTGATGGGTTGATGAGAGATTTTGAGGCACAAATGTTGAGCAGAGTGTCTGGTATGATCAAAGACTCAGAATCGAGAATCCTGGAGAAGGTAGATCATGCTGGTCAAACAACAGAGTTGAGGATAAATTCTTTCAATTCAAAGTATGTAGGAGTTGTGAAAGAATTAACTAATGTTCAAAAGGAACAACACACATTGTTCGTTATGGATGTGAAGAAGGTGAGAGAAGATGTTAATTTGAAGCTTCAAGAGCTTCGTGATGACATGGTTCGTGAAGTTGCAGTTGTTTAAAATGATTATGCCACTCTGCATAAGAAAGTTGATATTATTTGTGAAGCTGTCACGAAATATGTTAAGTTGTACGAAAGCTTGAGTCCTCAAATTGTAACAGCCCGAAATTTTCAGGTATTTATTTTGGACTTATTTATGGAAATTGTGAGTGGACTCGGCGAGTTGGAGCCCAGAATCACCGAGTAGGATCGCGGATTTGGGCACGGGTTCGCGTCTGGACTCGACGAGTCTAAGAGTGGACTCGGCGAGTCCATGCTGTGTGGTGAACCCCTAATTTCCGGGGTTTGCGGCCTATTTAAAGGGCCTTATGGCCGTCATTTGTGCTCACCCAACCCTTAGAGAGAAACCCTTGTGTGCTTGAACGTTTTGAGAGAGAAAGGAAGCATTCTTGACCCTTGTGTGTGTCATTTAGCAAAGAAGGAGAAGATTCTAAGCAAGAGGAAGCAAAGGAGGTTGCTATTCTGTGGATTTGAAGCTTAGATCATCAATCTAGAGGTATGATTTCGGATTACTTTCTGTTTTGTGATAAATAATGGGATCTAGGGTTTCTTATGGACATTTATGGGATGATTTGATGCCAAATAGTTTCCTTCTTGTGTTGAGGCTCTGGATCTGGATCCATAGAGGTCCAGAGAGCCTCATTCTTCAAGCTTTATGTATAGCAATGGAGTTTATGACCTTGGGTTGTAGTATTTGAGACAAAAACATCATTTATGGTCATATTGAGATTGTATGTGCATCAAGATAGTGACTTTACGTGCTAAATATGCTTGGAAGGACTGGATCTATGGGTTAATGGACTGGATCTGACCTTATGAGCAAGTTTGAGTCATTGCATGGCACGGAATCGCCGAGTCCAAAGAACAGACTCGGCGAGTCGTATGAATGTTGCCCGACCACATAGCGAGTGGTCTTGCCGAGTTGGGGAGGGTTGACTCAGTGAGTCAGGGGGAAGTCTGAGTGGACAGGTGGACTGTGTCAAGCTGGACTCGCCAAGTTGTTCTTAAGACTCGACGAGTTGAGTCGTGGTGGCCCCACAACTCATGCCAGGTGGAACTCGTCGAGTTAGGAGGATACTCGACGTGTCAAGGGAGGATTTCAGGGAAATCAGTGTATACGCTCAGACTCGCCGAGTCGCTATTGTGCACTCGCCGAGTCCGGTCAAAGTTGACCATTGACCGTTGACCTAAGTTGACTTGTTAAAGAGTAGTCAACCTTAGTTGGGAAAGTGTTAATTAGAGATGTATTGTGATATAGGAGGACTTTAGCTCGAGGGTCGAGCACTAGTGATTTCAGGATCCACGACTTACCGAGACGCGAGGTGAGTCTCCTCACTATACTTTACCTTGAGTAGGTAACTAGAGTTATGTGATAGAGTGTTTGTATGCTATGTATGTTATGTGTTGTACTGCATTATTTCTATGTGATTTATGATGTGCATGTTGACAGAGTTAGAACCTGAGGGTTCACAGAGTTTGGGTCAACGGACCCACAGAGTTATAGCCTCGAGTGGCTAATATGTGTTATATATGGTATTTTGAGGAACTCACTAAGCTTTGTGCTTACAGTGATTGATGTTATTGTTTCAGGTACTAGTGACGACCGCGGGAAGGTGCCGGCTTGATCCGTATACACACACACGGAGTTTATACATTTGTGATCTTGGGATTTTGTATTTACTTGAATTGGATAATTAATATGGTTGTTTTATGAATATTAAATGAATTATGTTTAATGAAAATTTGAAAATTTTGTTTTGAAATTTACGGTGTTACAATTTGGTATCAGAGCCTTGGTTTGAGGGATTCGGGTACACCTTCGGGAGTATTTGAACTCAAACTGAGGATTTGGAAAAATATTTTCAAAAGAAAATTTAACTTTTCTAAGAGTAAAAGATTTTTAGTGAGATTCAAGGAAGAAAAGTGTGTACGATCAGTCAACGCCCGAACTGTGATTTCCCAAAATACCCTTATATTATATGTTTATGGTGTATTCTCTTGTTAGAGTAGGCTATGTATTCTTATTAGGACTAGAGTGCCCTGATTTGTGATGCGTTAGCCTAGGGAGATGTGAGCTGCTATGAGATGCTTGAGAGCGAATAGGTAGCAGCGAGGAGCTTATGAGAGATCTGTTAGAGAGTGATAGAGTACTTGGAATTTGGGATCCGAAGAGGAAGATTTGGGGTGTTTACTGAGACGGTGTGGACAGTAGTATTGGGCCCGTACTACTGAAAGCACCGGGGCGGTGCACAATCCAACTAAGAATCTTTGGAATACCAAGAATCAAGGAGGGATGGGTTGTCAAGTGTAAGTATGCTCGAGCGGATTCTAATTTATCGTATGTTATATTTCAGAGGTTGATCATGGTGAGGACACGTCATATGCCGGAGGGTGTCGGGGCTAGTGATGAGGAGATCCGACAGATCATTCATGAGGAGGCGGCTGCGGTCATCAGAGCAGAGATACCAGAGATGTTCGGGTCTATTAAGACCGCGCTGATCGAGACTTTCGACGAGCGTTATGCCGCTCTTTCTGAGGCTGCGGTTGCGGCGGCCACTGCAGCTGTTGCTGCTGCTAGGCCGCAGGGTGGTGACGCGTTGCTGTTCCGGGAGTTCAGCAACACGAAACCACCGGAGATTGATGGGACCTAGGACCCGGTGGCAGCCATGAGATGGATTTCTGACATAGAGGGGTGTTTCTTCACTTGCTCATCTCCTGAGCATCTGAGAGTACGGTTCGCGCTGAACCAGCTTCGCTTGGGAGCGAAGGACTGGTGGAAGTTTGTCACAGCACATTTTTCGCCTGCTGAGCTTGCGGCAGTGACCTGGGAGAGGTTCACTGCCATGTTCCGAGATAAGTATGTTCCCCAGGTGGAGCGGGAGCGGTTGGCCCAGGAGTTTCTGACCCTCAAGCAGGGTACTGAGTTTGTTACAGTGATCACCAGGATGTTTCACGAGAGGGTGATGTTTTACCCTGAGCAAGTGTCCACTGAGTAGGCACGTATGAGTCGATATTTGAGTATTTTCAGACGAGACATTCGGGAGTTCGTGGCGAACTCCTCATACCGGACATTTGCTGAGCTTCAGGCAAATGCCCGGAAGAGGGAGATTGAGCTGGAGACCCAGGCTAGGGAGAAGGCTGAGTCTTAGGGGAGGGATCGGGGACCGGTACATTTCCAGCCGGCAGTCAAGCGGGCCAAGCTCGCTGATCCCAAATCAGGGATCCAGAAGGGCCGCACTTGTGGAAAGTGCGGCAAGGGTCATGATGGAGTGTGTAGAGCGGGATCTTGCTACAACTGTGGCAAGGAGGGGCATATGGCCAAGGGCTGCCCCAAGGGGTTTGCAGTATGTTTTCACTGCAACCAGACCGGACACCGGAAGGCGGAGTGTCCGCAGTTTCCAGGATCGGCTCAGGGAGCACCTCAAGGATCTGCCCTTGCCGCCATCAGAGCTACTGGGAGTGGGCCAGTGAAGGTCGAGGTGCCGAGGGCACGAGGGAGAGCATTTCAGTTGACCGCGGAGGAGGTCTGCGCAGCACCCAATGTCGTCGCTGGTATGTATTCTTTCGTGTATTTATTATAATGTTGAAATATTATGCTTATATTATGTTATGCTTAGGTACTTTTCTTGTGAATTCTGTACCTGCCTTGGTATTATTTGACTCGGGTGCGAGTCGGTCCTTTGTATCTTTGGCTTTTAGTCAGCACATCAGTATTAGTCGCGAGGCGCTGAGTCGGCCTCTAAGAGTTTCCATAGCTGACGAGAAGGTGATATATGCCACGGAGGTGATCCGTGGGTGCGTACTCGAGATTTTCGGTGTTGAGTTCGCGATTGATTTGGTTCCTATTGCCATGGGGGATGTTTGTGTCATCGTGGGCATGGACTGGTTGAGCAAGTTCGGTGCGGTTATCGATTGCGAGCGACAGCTAGTGACCATACGAGACCCTAGTGGGGGAGTTCTTACAGTGTACGGCGAGGGTACCCGTTCTGGATCAGCATTTTGTTCGGCCGCTAGGGTGAGACAGTGTTTACAGCAGGGCTGTAAGGATTTTGTGGCGTACGTGTCAGATACACGGGTTGATTCCGGGAGGCTGAGGTCGGTAGAGGAGGTTCCTATTGTACGTGAGTTTCTAGATGTTTTTCCGGAGGAGTTGCCGGGGGTGCCTACCGTGAGGCAAGTAGAGTTCAGTATTGATTTTGGTCCCGGGGTCCGCGCCTATTGCTAAGGTGCCTTATCGTCTTGCACCTCCAGAGATGCAAGAGCAATCCTCGCAGCTTCAGGAGCTGCTGGGGAAAGGGTTTATTCGGCCGAGTAGCTCGCCGTAGGGAGCGCCCATTCTGTTTGTAAAGAAGAAGGACGGTTCACATCGGATGTGTATTGATTACCGAGAATTGAACAAGATGATGGTCAAGAACCGTTACCCGTTGCCGAGGATCGACGATTTGTTCGACCAGTTGCAGGGAGCATCTTGGTTCTCCAAGATCGATTTGAGGTCTAGATACCATCAGGTGAGGGTACGAGATGAGGACGTCCAGAAGATAGCGTTTAGGACGCGTTATAGGCATTATGAGTTTGTGGTGATGCCTTTTGGGCTCACCAATGCTCCGGCAGTGTTTATGGATCTGATGAACCGGGTATGCATACCGATGTTGGATCGGTCGGTGATCATATTTATTGATGACATTTTGGTGTATTCGAGATCTAGGGAGCAGCATGAGGAGCATTTGAGGGAGATCCTTGGAGTTCTGAGATCGGAGAGGCTTTATGCCAAATTCTCCAAGTGTGACTTCTGGTTGCGAGAGGTCCAGTTCCTTGGACATCTTATTAACCGGGATGGAATATTGGTCGATCCGGCCAAAGTGGAGGCAGTTATGAGTTGGGAAGTGCCAAGGTCACCCTCCGAGATCAGAAGTTTTCTAGGGTTGGCCGGTTATTATCGGAGATTTGTCAGGGATTTCTCCAAGATCGCAGTACCACTCACTAAGTTGACCCGGAAGGGTG